GCCATTCCGCCCACATCTATTGTGGTCTACCAATGGCTGCGGAGGGCGTATGATATGAATTGGTGTCATGTTTCGGACTAGATGTAAAATGGGTGTGCGCAAAATATGAAGGGTTATCACTCAAATGTTTTGTTAATAAAATTNAAAAAAATTTCACGAATTTGCACGGAGGAAAAACGAATCCTTGTTATTCACGTTCAGCGGCCGCCATTCACCTGAGAGGCACAAGCAGAAAGAGGTATAGCGCTGCTGCTTAATTTCCCCGAGTGGGGCATTAAGCTGCCAGCCCAAAGACTCATAAAAAAGCGTCCAACAGTTTTTTGAATTGGGTTCTAAATGGAGCGTGGGCAACCGTCGGAGCAAGAATATTCCACAGAACAACCACCAGAAATAAGAACAATTCCTGTCCAATAAAATGTGCGATCTGAACCTGAAAATCGTCTCATCGCCGTGTGTTAACCGAAACAACGGTGAAAACCATGCTTGGCAAATCGTTGAAACATAAGTAAGCATTAAGTCTCCTCGGAGGCCTCTATGCTCCACGAGAAAGAGGTCAGGCACCGCGAGCTTCGTTTCATAGTCCGCGAATTGTAGGTCGGTAGCCATTTTCGTGGCAGCGTGTTAAACAAGCTCAGTGAGGATTACGTCCTTCTTGAGTCCCGAGTAGACAACTTGGTTAGCATATTCAAAAAGCGGCCCGAACTTCCTCAACAGAACTATCGTCGCGGCCCACACAGAGTGGTTGGTCGGCTACAGAAAACCAGCCTTCTGTAGTTCGTCCAATTCCTTATCAATGATGGGTAATGCTGCATATGTTTTGGTCGTTTTGGCCTGCAAACTTAAACAACTCACATTGCGGAACGCTCAGCAATGTGAGTTGCTTCAAGGGCACCTTTGGGGTCTGCGTGCATGACGTCAAAAATAGAATTAATAAACTTCTCCAGCAGCTTCAACTTTTCGATCCAGTCTAGCATGACGTCAGCTGGCACGTGGCCTGTGCGTCGAGCCAGTGAAGATTATGGAGCAGTCAACCTCGTCAGTCATCTTTAGTTAACCACCAGGGGCATAACTGGAGCAATTCTCGGCAAGACCGAGCAAAATGCCTCTCACCACAGTGCTAGGGATTTCTGGGGGGGGGCTAGTTCTGTTTTCAGTACGGTGAGCAGGAGATGATTGCGTGTACACAGTTGCTTGAAGTAATAAGTGATTGACCGATCATAGAGGTGTCGTGCCTCAGGTTGACCAGGCGGAGACTTTCGGTGGTAGGGCTCTGCAGGGTCATTTCAGCAGCCTGTTTAATTCTGTTAAGCAGCCGGGTTCTAATGT